TTCATTTAAATGTTAAAAAATAGCAACAACATAATCAATAAATCAACATAAATCATGCATTTATTAATACTAAAATAATTTACTTGTGGCAGATTTCACGGAAGCGGAATCACAATTTTCCAGAAATTCAATCTGTGTATTGGTAAACCCCACAAACAGTGGGTTAGTATGAACATCAAATTATTATTATTTTTTCTTTTAAGAAAAAGAGAGTTCTACAATCATAATTATTGATATACCAAGTCAGTCAATCACAATTGATTTAGCAATACCACTTAATCCTACTATAATCACCCTACCCTCACAATCGCACGCCATTTTAATTCTTAACATAATTGCCATACATAACTATATATAATCCTAAGCCAGTAATAGGCACTTGGATTTAATTAGTGATGAGTAAAAACCAAGTATGCAACTAAATTAGTTGCTGAAATAAATGTATTCCTAATTATTCAGTTTACTAAAAGCAATACTTCTTTAAATAAACTCTAAGCAGACAATTTATTGCTAAGTTTGCGAGAAAGTAAGCCTCTCCCTTTTCCCATACATGAACTTGTGATTCAAAAACACAATTGATCTACATGCTTTAACTACAGTTTATTTACATTGTTTAAAACATGTAAAGTTAATTCATTTGATATTTAACAAAAGTGAAGTTTGTGGTTAACTATGAGTTGCATATTTTGGTAGTTGAAGTACTGTATACTGTATGTCATTCCTACTTTGTTAGTGAAATAATGTTTTTAAAACTTTTATTTCTACTATCAAAAAATGTTATTCAATGGCCATTGTTTTTCGATTATCTCTCAGAATATTATTTGCATCTGCTGTAATCGTTAAAAAACAAATGCTTTTAAAGAAATAAAAAAAATCACATATTGATCTCAGTTCAAAGGAAAAAATAAAAGTTATTTCTAAATTTACAATTTTCACCTATAAACCTCTTAATTTCACAAAAGAATGGGTTCTTTTCCAAATAAATACATTCTGCCTAACATTGTGTGTTTAGATTAGAGCTTTAACTTTGGAAACTGAGATGATTTTAGATACTATTTCTGTATAAACTATTTTTTTTTTCATATTACTGTAAACCCAATGGGTTTTGATAAATTTACTCTGCACTATGGAATTTCCAATAAGAAAAAAAGAAAATTAATTAAAAAGACCATAGATTAAAAATAAGTAAGGCATAACATATTTTTAATCTATGTTAAAGCATAACTATTTTTACATAATGAAATTTAGTAAATCAAATTATTATTTGTGGCTTTTATTTATTAAATCAATTAAGAACATAATCTCAAAACAAAATTTTATGACAAGAAAGATCGACGTTTCGGGTCCATCATGGAACCATTCTCAAGATTAAGTAAATTGAAAAAAACTAAAAACAAAAATGCCAAGCAGTGACAGGCAGTAAGTAATTAATTTACATATCTCTAGGGCCTACTGTGTGGAGCCACAATGGAGCTAAGCAATAATTAGCCCTTCTTAGCAGATTAACTAGATAAACAGTTTGGCAATAGCCTGGTTGACGTCGAACTTTATCTAGATATACCCGTCTTAAAACATGATACGATAATCCCCTAATTGCGTTTGATGCCAAGTTAGAGCCAGATAAACAGCCAGCCAGTTTCAGGCCGTCGACGTCACACGGTCGAAAGGCTTGCTTAATAAAACATCTACTGTATTTTACGAACCTCTAGTACCAAGTGGTATTCGTTAAAAAAAAAATGTAAACTACTGTAGAGAAACCGAAAGGTCCACTAATTAATCTCAGATAAGAAAGTATAATACATACTCCAAGTATTGAAATACACGCCATCGGGTTGGGATTCAATATTTCGACATTAATTATGTCATCATCAGAAATGAAAAAATTATCCATATTAGCAAGCTTATATGCACTAGTACCAAAAGTGTTTAACCAATCAAAACATTACCTCTAGTAGGTGACATAGCAGTGATTTAAACAAAAGATCAAA